TGAGCACACCCACCCTATAGCAAAAAGCTCTCAAAAAAAAAAAAAAAAAAGAGAGAGTACATGTTCATTATAAAAAAATAGGAAAAAAACAAGCAGAGGAGGGAAAATTCTTGCAATTTTGCCATTCAGAGATTACTCTTAATATCTTTATAAAGAATTTCTCAGTTTTATTTATCATTAATACAATTCATAGGTTTTTAAACTCTATTTTGGTAACTCCTCTCTCCTCATCCCCTCTCTCCCCATCTTTCTTCCTGACTTTCCCATCCAGTTATAGAGAACAGTAACTGCCAAGTGTCTTGGAAATTTGTGTCGGGACTCTCACATGGCCGACTGAGGTCGAGTCCCAGGCTCAGCAGCTTGAAAATCACACAGGGAACGTGTGCAGGCATGCATCCCAAGAGGATAAGGGAGAAGAAAGGATTGTGTGGCCATTCCCCCAGAAAGGAGGGATGATTTTTCCACTTTCCCTCTCCCTGTGTGTCTCTCCAGCAAGGGTGCATGCCCTGTGGCAAAAAAAAAAAAAAAAAAAAAAAAGAAAGAAAGAAAGAAAGAAAACAAAAAGAAAAACAAGAACTACATGTCAGCAGCCCAGTGGCTCTTCATCCAGGAAGGGAAGGCCTGGCATTATCACTGGGTGTGTTCTTTTTTTCTTTTTTTTGGAGATGTTTTCGCTATAGGGCACGTGCACTCACCAGACAGACAGAGACAGAGAGACATAGAGACAGAAAGCGAGAAATCACCCCCCAGGGGGATGGTCACGCCGCAATCCCTTCTCCTCCATTCTCCTCTCGGGATCTTGGGCACGCATGCACACACGCCCGGCATGAGTTTTAAGCCACCGGGTCTGGGACACGAACCGCAGTCGACTACGTGGGAGTCCAGCGACATAGCCATTACGCTAACTGCTGGTTCCCTCACTGGGTGTGTTCTACCTGCAGAGATTTCCAGGCCCCCGTGCTGGGTACGGAGGGCCGTCAGACCAAGTCGGCATCCCTTTGTGCTGGGCACAGCCTAACACTGCGATTTTGTCTTTACAGGCATTTTCAGCTTTTTACTTTGTGATGGATTTTTTAAACTTGACATCAGGAAAGCTCTCTCAGAAGGAGATGACTGCGACGATGCTAAGTTTCTGCTCTAAGCCTTGGAATGAAGTAAGTGACTAGAAGCCGCAAGGGTCACAAGTGTTGTGAGCCCCCAGCAACGCAGAGGCTATGAACCTGCTCTTAAACCAGCGCTGGTTTGACCCGGATGCCACAACTGGCGCTGAGAAGCCCAGATGCTGACAGGGACGAATTCGTAGGCGCTCCTTGCTCCTTGACAAGCAGCAACAGCAGCAGTCTCAGGTCTGGCAGCTGGCAGCTGCCGTGGGCTCAGCAGCTCGACGGTGTCTTCGCCATTGCTTCTTCGGTTCTGTTGCTTTGCCTACGTCCTCATGGACACGAGGCGGTTGCTGTGGCTTCAGGCCTCCCAGCTGTGTTCAAGGTCAGAAGAAGGGTAGAATTGGATACAGCTCTTCCTTTATCATAAGACAGCAAGGTGTCTTAGCAGCCTCTCAGCAGCTTTCCCTTTATATCTCACAGGCCAGGACTGGCTGGGAAATTAAGACGTGGGATATTACGTGGGGCTTAGCGCCTGAGACCCATCGTGGCCATTGCCTGAGTGGGCACATGGCCACCCACCCTCTCTCCCAAGCCCTGCATCAGAGTTCTATGAGGGAGGGGGACTGGCAACTCACAGAATCTGCCACACACACCACTGTGGTAAGGTCCTTTCTCCCGTGCCCAGAACTAAGATATCCCTTACTTATCCATAACTTTGAAGCACAATTTTTTTCTTAGCCAAGGCACTGACTCATTCAAAATCTAACACACCTGGTTAGTTTCCAGGGAGGAGAGAGAGATGGGGTCCACTCCGATCATCTAGGTGTCGCTTAAGGCCGGTTGACACAGGTACAAAAGCGAATGGTACTGTCACTCTTAAATACCATCAATGAAAATGGATGCTTGTCCTTGTCTGCATGGGCAAAGGGGGAAGGAAGTCTGTGTGAGAGCCTGGAGGAGGTTTGGAATCCTCTCCGAGCACTTTGTCTGAGTTGGAACATGAAAGGATGTGTTCGAGGCCTTCAGGAAGATGTGCTGAAACATGCCCCAGCACTTTGCAGAACGGCTCTCTGGGGCCGGTGGAGATCTTTGGGAGAACATGAGTAGAGGCGACTTGAGACCAGGCCTGCATGTGGTTGCTAAGGTTTAGGTTTAGGCTGCTCTTTTAAAAATGACATCTGGAGGACCAGTAGATGGCGTAATGGCTACGTTGCTGGATTCTCAGGTAGTTGACTGATTCGGACCCAGGAGGTTCAAATTCCGGACCTTGTGACTTAAAACTCACACTGGGCATGTGTGTGTGCGTGCCCAAAATCCTGAGAGGAGAATAGAGGAGAAGGGATTGTGGCGTGGCCATCCCTGCTGGGGGGTGATTTCTTGCTTTCTGTCCCTCTGGTGAGCCTATGTGCTCTATAGGAAAAATCCCTCTTAAAACAATGACTTCTGGGGCTAGCAGGCAGCATGGTAATTAAGGCACTGGACTCCCATATGGCCATCTGCGGTTCAAGTCCCAGACCTAGCAGCTTGAAATTCATGCCGGGCGTGTGTGTGTGCATACCCAAAATTCCAAGAGGAGAATAGAAGAGAAGGTATTGCCCTATGGGGTGATTTCTCACTTTCCCTCTAACTGTCTCTCTCTCTCTGGCGAGTACACATGCCCTGTGGCAAAAACCTTAAAAAAATAAATGAATGGATGAATGACTTCTCATTCAGAGTGAAAGTTCTATCAAATATCCTCTCTTCTCTATGTCTACTTTTAAGATAATTTATCAGATCATTATTATTTTTATTATTACTATTAGGTTGGGAACCTATAACTGCAGCCCTGTAGGTCTGTTCAGGTGACCCACATGGGTGGGCATTGCTCAGAGGCCTAGGAAGTGATTCCAGAGAGGCCTGCACGTGGGGGCAGTTCTGAAACATTAGTGGGGTGGAGGGGTTTAGGGCGGGACCTCACTCTCACCCTTAGCCTGGAATGTTGAGGGGTGTTAGGATGCAGGGTTTGCTGTTCCCATGCGTGTTTCCCTCTGTGTGGAGGGCAGTTTTGTCAAGTACACTCTTATGGGGTGACTCTTCTTTTCCTCCTGACTTCACCACAGGAAGGACTTGTGTTTGGGAATATCCTGCCTAAACAACTTGGGCAGAATGAAGACTAACAGTCGTTGGGCAGGTGCCGTGGGCTGGGAGGGGCTGGATTAAACAGGCTGTATCGGGCTACAGGCTCCTGCTTAGGCAGAGGGACTGTGACAGCCTTCCCACTGATGTCCCTGAGGGGGAGCAACTGGGAAACTGAGTGAAGTGGACGCTCCAGAGTCGTCTTCTGGCAGGTTACTCAGAGGGCAGGGGAAATCTTTCAGCAACCAGAACATACCGACTTTGCCACTTTGCAAGTCTGGCCATCCAAAATCTGCCAGTGCTCCCAGAAAACAATGCTGTAAGAGCCTGTGTGTTCTTATAACTAGTTGCATCTCGGGATACGCCAGGTCCTGCCACTGCTCAGTCTCATGAGTTCAAAAGGCCTGCCAGTGCCCCTCTATATGGGGAATGGAGAAGAGAAATGGGCGAGGGGAGAAAGCCTGATACTTTGTGTTCCACTGCCCTGGGAGTAGAAAGGAGAGAAGGGGAGCGAGGAAGACAGAGGAGAGAAGGAGCGATGCCCCGCCCCACCACCCAACATGGAGAGCACGCAACGAGCCCGCAGGCATGAGCACCGTCAGCCCTGGGTGGATGACCAGACGGATGCCTCTGGCTTCCATATTGTTCGCTGCACTCACCATCAGCCTCCGCAGGTCAGACCACACAGCCACCGTGCAGCGTCTGGGAGGAGGAGGTGCATCAGAATGTTGAAGGTTTCAGGGAAATCGGGCCAAAAGACATCCTCTGCTGAGGGACAGGCCAGCCTTCCAGAGCCTGCAGGGGCTAAGCTTTTTCCCGTTGGGCTCAAGTGGATCCTTGGAATTCTGCAACCCTTAGCCAGTCTATACGACAGGCCCAGTGAGACACTAGAGAAGCACTAAGACTGCATCCTAGAGAGGAGGTCTTTCTGCGAAGGAGAACTGTTTCCAGAAGGGAGGGCGGGGACTACACAGCAGTATCAGCTGAGGTCCGTGCCCAGGTCTCAGGAGAAGGTCACACGTATAGGAGCACATTGGGGTGACTGGTTCCTGGAACTGGAATGAGAAGACAAGTTCCCAAGTGGGTCATTCTAAGAATTTCATCAGAGCAGGACAATGCAGCATAGGTATGGACTTACCCTTCTAGAAACTGCGGGCACACAGGAACCAAGGGAGAGACAGACCCAGCCAGCAGGTGGTATACAGAAGGGACGCCCTCTTGAAGCAGACAGAGATGTGGGGAAAGGGGGCGAGTTTAACAGCACGTGTGGGCATCTGGCATGCTGACATGATACGTGTCTAACGGGTAACGGGTTAGTGCCCTCTGCCCAGAACGTCAGGAGGCAGTCGCTGCCTCATGGCGTGAGCTGTAGAGCAGCAGGCCGCTCTGGGCTGGGCTGGGGGTGTCCTGGTCTCGCACTCTGGTGCTCCGGGAGAGGAGCAGGCCAGGCTGTGGGCGTCTGTTCACAGCAGCCAGCTCTCAGTATCGCGGTGGGGAGCAGGGTGAGCAAACGCATGAAGGACTCTGGATGCCCAAACAGGCTACAAGGGGCCAGCCGGTGGCATGTTGATTAAAGTGGTGGACTTTCACCTGGCCGACCATGGTTTGAGTCCCAAACCTAGTGGCTCGAAATTCATACCAGGCACGTGTGTGTATGTGCCCCAGATCCCAGGAGAATGGAGGAGCAGGGTTCTGGGAGGGTGGTGATTTCTCACTTTCCATCTCACTGTCTCTTTGTGTCTCTCCAACGAGCTTACGCATCCTATAACAAAAACCTAAAAACAAAGGAGCCGCAAAATAACAGGTTATGTGAGGACAGAAGTAGAAGGTAAGGGTTGGCACTTGGAGCAGTCCGGCAAAATGCTTCCGAACCTGTGTTCTAGAGCTCCTTCTCAACCCTTGCTGTGCGTGTGGGTCTCCGGGGAGTCATACTAACGCACCTTCTGAGTTGGTAGTTCTCGGACTCGCACTTCCAGGGGAGACTGGTGCCGTGCCCCAGATGCAGCTGAGTGGTGAAGCTTTTTGTGACGCTGTTTGCTTGGGATGCTTCTAGAGACTGAAGGAGGCTGTGGTCAAGAGCATATAGAAATCTCAGATTCTTTCATGTGATACCCTCCCAGCTTTATACGCTCCTGTGATTGTGAAACACCAAGATGAGAAAGGAAGAGATGCAGAACTCAGTGTTTATGAACTTGGCTGCAGGGGCTACCATTTCCCGAAATACCTCATAGAATGCCGTGGAGGAAAAGCCTCCCTTAAGAGACCCGAAACTCTGGGCCCCGCGTGCTCTGCAGGAGCAGGGCCCTCCAGGCCCTCGGGGAGAGGCCACCCGCAGGCCCAGGTGACCTGGGGCTTTCTCCTCTCGTCTTCAGGGCTGGGAGTGAAAGAAGACGATAGCCTGCTGATCGTACAAGTGTGACACCTCCCTCCCTTCACTTCTAGATAAAGACAGCTTTCAGTGGAGTAAAGGAGAAGTACCTGAGTGAGTACTGCTTTTCTGGAACCTACGTCGTCACCCTCCTCCGGCAAGGCTATCACGTCACAGACGAAGCCTGGAAGCACATCTACTTCATAGGCAAGGTAATGCGGTCCCTGCTGGGCTGTGGGGAGGCCGGTGCGGAGGAATGGGAGCAGCTTCGGGGTTTAAGTGTTGGCCTGACGTTTGTTTACCGCCTAGCTCTGACCCAAGCTGGCACTGCGTGTCAAGCCCTCCTGGTATGTGGAGCAGCTGTGGGCATCCATGCCTGCGTGCTCAATTGTGCTTTCCTTCCCCAAGTGGCGAGTTACTTATAAAATAAGAGTGAGGTAGTAAAGGGTCAGCATTTCAGCTGCCACAGAGATTCTGTGTGCCGACTTCAACAGCCCTCCCAAAGGCCTCTTCCGAACTGGGAAGGCGACGATCGTGGTTTCTTGTAAGAGGTGAGACCTCATTGGTTGTTACTTCAAGGCTGACCAGTCTGAAATCTCTGTGAAGAAGGGGACTGCTGCTTAGAAGTTAAGCCGAGCAAGGCCCTGAAGCAGCAACCTCACTGCTGGGTTTTACCATAGCGCCACCTGCAGGTGTCCAGGAATAGAGAAACGTTCACGTCGGCTGCAGACGCATGCTTGATGACAAATAGCAAGAGTGTTTCCCTACCCCATTAAACCCATGCCCACTAACGGCAAATCACAGTTTACTTTGTCCGAAGGAGTTGTCTACATCGGATCTATGACTGATGCACCGGGCTTCCTTGATTTACGTTCCTTGAAGGCCAGTGCATAAACCAGGATTTCTAAGCCTAGGTGATAACGCCTCTCATCTGAGCCTTCCTGGACACAGTCAGTCACAGAGGGAAGTGGGCCTTTTGTTGTCGTTAACTCCCAGGGTGGGTAAAACGGTGAGGGGCGAGGGGGATGTCCACGTGATATTGGTCCGAGTGTAACTTGGCACAACCTTTGGGGAGTCTGCTGTGATCTGTGCAGAGACTTAACAGTGTACACGCCGTTCTGCTCAGTTACTCCATTTCCAGGATTTACGGAAACTGGGTAGAGTAAAGGTTGATGTATTAGGCAGATCTTGACAGTGAGGAGGATGTAGAAATACCTTAAGAGACACAGGATGTCGTTCACAAGGTATCATTAAGTGAATTATTCTACATTTTAAAAAGAAAGAAAGAAAACAGGAGTGCAATGTTCAAAGGCCTGTTTGAATGAGAGTCCTCTAAGGACAGTTGGGGAGTCGTTCACCACATTCCTCTCCCAGCTTTGACCCATGAACAGCGTGGGCAAACTGCTCAGGTCTGTTTCTATGTGAATTTTTTTTTACAATAAATATATTGAAAAATACATTACAGGGATCAGCAGTTAGTGTAATGGCTATGTCGCTGAACTCCCATGTAGTTGACTGCAGTTCGAGTCCCAGATCCCGTGGCTTAAACTCACGATGGGCGCATGTGTGTGTGGTTGGGGTGTGGCCCTTCCCCCCCGGGGGGGGGGGGGTGATTTCTCGCTTTCTATCTCTCTGTCTCTCTCTGTCTTTCTGGTGAGCGCACGTGCCCTATAGCAAAAACCTCTCCAAAAAAAAAAAATACATTACAGTATTGTATATGTATTTTCCTTATGATTTTCTTAACATTTTCTTTTCTCTAGTTTTATTATAAAAATACAGCATAGAACACATACGACGTATAAAATATTTATACTCAACTGTATTTCATTGGCGAGGCTTCAGTCATGAGTAGGCTATTAGCACATAAGTTTTGGGAGAGTCAAAATTACGCACAGATTTTTGACTGATCAGGGGCTCGGTACCCCTAGACCCCTCTCACCTGTCTAGAAGTGAGGTTTCAGACTCCTTAGTCACCTTCTTACTGTCACCACAACCACAGCTGCCATTTAGAATGTAACGTTAGACCGCTGAGAGCGCCGAGCGCGGCCCTCCGCACAGCGGTCGGCTCGGGCATGGGTGGGGCCTGAGAACTGCAGACTCCACCCCGCATGCACAGCACGCCCTCCCGGTTTGCAGATCCACGGCAGCGACGCCGGGTGGACTCTGGGCTACATGCTGAACCTGACCAACATGATCCCCGCAGAGCACCTGCCCAACACGACTCTCTCCCACCCCGTCTACGTCTTCCTCATGGTCCTGTTCGCCCTGATCCTGGTCGCAGTGGTCATCGCAGGCTTGTGCATCTGTCTTAAGCCTTCGTGTCTACAGAATGACATGGTATAGCGTATCCCATCCGTGCAGTCTGCTGGCTGGAGTGAATAAAAACTTGCCCAGGGAGCACTTTACTCCGCAGTGTGTCCAAGTCATCCTTCCCTGCTCGCCAGGGCGTCCTGATCAGCAGGGAGCTCCCGTGGCTCTCGCGGAAGCCGTTCCTTGGGATATTCGCCATGCTCTGCCTCCAGGACTTCCCGGCAGACACACACTTTCGTGAGTCTTTTCCAGTTACCCACTTTCTCCTTTGTACTCTGTGCTTACATCGGTCTTACAGGCCTGCACCTTTCATGATTCTTTTCTTTGTAAAAGAATAACATTGATTTTGTCTAGAAGACCTGCGAGTCCCCAGTCCTGTGCTGGGGAGTTGAGCTGGCTAAAAGAAGAATCTCAGGAACCGGTTCAGTTGCACTCTTTGAGAATCAATCCCCTTTTCTCTTTGAGAACCCCATTTTCTCTCCTGCTGCCCATTGATTTAGAAAGCCATATAATACCTTTGGAAAGGGCAGGCACCATCCTGTGTCCAGCCTGCCCTCTGCATAGGAGAATTTTCTAGAGTAGGCAAGTATGTGCTCAGGCCAAAGAGTTGTACAGGGGAATCCGTGTACTCCCAGAGATAATGTAACTCAGTCCCATCCAAAACGGGCACGAATGAGTCCGGCGTTCCTGGGTCACACCAAATGCTAGTGTGGAACACTCAGACCAGAGACTTTTGGAAGCAGCTATATACAGGCGTTTAGATGTCAGGGCATACTACATGGTAAGGTATACATGTCCAGAACAAAACTACAGTTAAATGCAGGGTCAGGAAAATGTGTCCCCCAGGGCCTCTTTGGGGCTTTGCTTTTTTATTGTGGTAAAATACTCACAGCATAACCATTTTCACATTCGCTTCAGGACAGTCCAGTGGCGTTTAGTGCATCCACAGCGCCGTACAGCCATCACTAGTGTTTAGTTCTAGAACATTTTCACCACCAAGAAACAACTGGAAATAAGACCATCCCGGGTAGGCTCAAAGCACAGCTCTTTCGGTCAGTAGCTGCGTGTGCTAACCAACGGCAGCGCAGACCGCTCACTGAGCGTGAGAGCCATGCCACATCTCCTTGCCCCACGGGTCAGGGTAACGACAGCAGCGTTACTGTGGAAGGCCATGCTTTGGCCCTCTCGTGGTGTTTACCCATCAGAATGTTCAGAAACCAAGGCTGAAAATAGTACTGCCAGCCCTGCCACACAAGCACGGCTTGGTTACTCATTCCGTGGGACCCGTGAGAGAAGTGGCTGTGTACCTTAGCATGGGAAAAAGGAAGAGACCCCACATCGTCTTCCTTCACGGATTGCCGCAAGAGTTACCCATGGTGGGGCCGGCAGGTGGCATGGTGGTTAAGGACGCTGGACTCCCACGTGGCTGCCTGCAGTTTGAGTCCAGACCTGGCAGCTTGTTTTCTCACTTTCTCTCTCTTTCTCTCTCTGTCCCTCTCTGATCAAATTAAAATAAATAAAATAATCCTTTAAAAAAAAAAAAAAAGAGTTACCCGTTGAGCAGGACTGAGTGGCAGTATTATTCTGACCTTGTCCCAAGCTCGCTCGCTCTCTCTGGATCTGGGGACTGACTGTTGAGCTGTTGGGAAGAAGCGTTCTCCCACAAACTGCACGAACTAGAAACCAGATGTCCCTAGAGGTCTTAAACAATCGAGTCACTTTTGACAGTAACCAGGTGAGTAGAAGTTTGATAAAACCGCGGCAGGAATTTTCTCTTTCCTTTGCTGCTACTCACAGCGGAATGTCCCGCACCTGGATTGGGACACACGCAAACCTTCTTTGTGGTAGTCAGCCGTGCCGTTAGAGCCGCTCCTGACCGAGTGTCTGCCGTGGTGTGCTGTGTGTGCAGGCGCACGCCATTCCGTTCTCATGTAACCCCTCACAACAACCTGAAGAAAGTGGCCACTCCCACAAGGTTAATGCTTTATCATTTTCTTCTCACGGAAATAGGCTGAGGCTCGGAGAAGTCAATCTCTTGCCCAAATGACTGAGCCAAAGCCCGGCATTATTTTCTTCCCTGAATATAACTAGATAGAGTGTCCCTTTACAACTTCTCACCTTGGCTTCAAACTCTGCATGAGTACAGAGCTCATGGCACATGGGAGACAGGGAAGAGACGATGGCCGCCCCCTGAGGTCCCTGCAGTTTAATATTGCTGGAAGTCCACAAATGATGCCATGGAACACGGTGACTTGTGCTTTGGATGATGACACACGTGGCATGGGAGGTCAACCAGTGGTTCCCGAACTCCTGGCTTCTTAATGACACTGCTTGCTCACCACCCCGCAGAGCTGCATCAAGGCAATAGTGGTGGGGAAAATGATAAACATTAAGGGCAAATGAGCTGAGTCTCTAACAGCCCTTTCTCCTTCATCCGCATATTCAGAGTGTGGCCTCGCACGTGGTCTGTTCTGATCCAGGCTGGCGCAGGCATTACTTCTGTTGTACAGACGAGGGTCCCACGGACAGTGACATGGCGGATACTTAAACTCACGTCTTCGGCCCGTAGTCTAGTGCCTTCTCCTTCAAAACACTTCTCTCAACAAGTTGGAATTAGAATCCACACGTTTTCTTCAGAGAGCACCAATGTTTTCTTATTCCATTTCTGTCTGGTTGCTTAGGTTAAAAAACAAAAAATTTCACCCTTTAAGGCGTTTCGGAGCCAAACTCCAGTTGTCAAAATCTCAATTTATGGAGGCAGTGAGCAGGCACAACCCAAGTGCGAGTCTCCTAGAGAGAAGGTTGGCTCTGAGGCAGGTCCGGGCATCTGCGCTGGGTCATTAGACCAGAGAAGGTGGGTCACTGTCACTAATTTCCTGGCCACTGGTTATCCCTGCTTGCCCGTCCTCCCTGGACTTTCACCAAGGAATCAGAACTGGATTGGTAACCATGTTCCTTTATCAAGTGGGGAGTTTCTTTTGTTATTGTTTTTCTTTTTTTTCTATGAACCTACAAGGGGGAAAGAGCCCAGCAAAATGGTTACCTTTGTGGATGAAAGAATGGAGAATGAAGCTACTTGATTAGGTTTTGTGAGTGTGTGTGTGTGTGTGTGTGTGTGTGTAACAGAGGAAAAGAATATAAAAGTTTCAACTCATTCAACTTTTATTAAGACATATAACATTGGATATAAATACTTTTTTTTTTGGAGAGGTTTTTGCTATAGGGCGTGTGTGCTCACCAGACAGACAGAGACAGAGAGACAGAAAGTGAGAAATCGCCCCCGGGGGGTGGTCACACCACAATCCCTTCTCCTCCATTCTCCTTTCGGGATCTTGGGCACGCACGCACATGCGCCCAGCGTGAGTTTTAAGCCACCGAGTCCGGGACGCGAACCGCGGTCGACTACCTGAGAGTCCAGCGACATAGCCATTATGCTAACTGCTGGTCCCCCCCCTTCTTTTTTTAAAGAATACCCTTCATTTTAACATTTTATCAAAGTCACTGCAGGAAACATGGTTACTCAAACCAGGTAAAGGAGAGTTTAAGAAAGTGCCTAAACCCAAAATATTAACATTTCAACAAGTAATTTAAAAATGAATGCAATATTTATTTATTTATTTATTTATTTATTTATTTATTTATTTAGGAGAGGTTTTCACTATAGGGCGCATGCGCTCGCCAGATAGACAGAGAGAGACATAGAGACAGAAAGCGAGAAATCACCCCCCAGGGGAGATGGTCACGCCGCAATCCCTTCTCCATTCTCCTCTCGGGATCTTGGGCACGCATGCAGATGCGCCCAGCGTGAGTTTTAAGCCACCGGGTCCGGGACGTGAACCGCGGTCAACTACGTGGGAGTCCAGTGACATAGCCATTATGCTAACTGCTGGTTCCCATGCAATATTTATTTTTTCATGCTAGATTTCCTGAGTTGCTTGTGGGTCCTACACTCACACCACACCTCAGTTAGGCTGTGTGTACACTCAGCACGCCTCAGTTAGGCTGTGTGTACACTCAGCACGCCTCAGTTAGGCTGTGTGTACACTCAGCACGCCTGTTAGGCTGTGTGTACACTCAGCACACCTCAGTTAGGCTGTGTGTACACTCAGCACGCCTGTTAGGCTGTGTGTACACTCAGCATGCCTCAGTTAGGCTGTGTGTACACTCAGCACGCCTGTTAGGCTAGCCACATGGCATGTGCTCCATGACCACGTATGGCCAGTGGCTACCACATTGCACAGCCTATGTCTTCAAAATGCACTGAAAGTTAGAAAGAGCCTTCATGCTTTTCCTTGGGTGGGGAGGGGGCTGGCGTGTTAAAACAGATTCTATGGGGGGACCAGCAGTTAGCATAATGGCTATGTCGCTAGACTCCCATGTAGTCGACCGTGGTTCGCTTCCCGGACCCGGTGACTTAAACTCACGCCGGGCATGTGTGCGTGCCCAAGATCCCGAGAGGAGAATGGAGGAGAGGGGATTGCAGCATGACCATCCCCCGTGGGGGGTGATTTCTCACTGTCTCTCTTTCTCTCTCTGTCTGGCGAGTACACATGCCCTATAGCAAAAACCTCTCCAAAACAAACAAACAAACAAACAAACAAAACAGATTCTATGGGACCAGCAGATGGCGTAATGATTACGTCGCTGGATTCCCACATAGTTGACCGAGATTTGAGTACTGGACCCAGTGGTTTAAAATTTACACCAGGCGACCAGAAGATGGCAACGTGGTTACATCTCTGGACTCCCACGTAGTCGACTGTGGTTTGAGTCCCAGACCTGGGAGCTTCAAGCTCATGTTGGGCATGTGTGAGTGCGTGTGTGCCCAAAATCCTGAGAGGAGAGTAGAGGAGAAGGGATTGCGGCCTGGCCATCCCCTCGCCGGGGTGGGGGGTGGGGGTGATTTCTCACTTTTATGTTTTTCTGTCTATCTGGTGAGCACACGTGCCCTATAGCAAAAATCTATGACAAAAAAAAAAAAAAAAGATGCTGTAACATTTTTGTTGTTATTTGTTATATATGAAGTTTAACATTATTCTTACGCTTTCAAGGTCCTAGCTCAGAAATTCACTTTGTTCCTCAGGTTTTGTTGCCT